GTAGAGAGTAAAATCATAAAGTACAGTATCTAGTCTATACCATTAATCGGTATATTATTTACTGATAAATGCCTGTTTTTATCAATATCCTTGAACTCCTTAGTCAAAAGCAACAGTAATGAAATCAAAGTTGCTGCAGGCTTGGTATAAATTGACTTGGCTTAAGGTATTAACTCTGCCATGATGTCATGTATAAAGTGTAAAGTGTTTAATCACTGACCTGATTCTACATCTGGAAAAGGGGGAGAATCATAACTAGCTCATACAGTTACTGCAAAAAAATAAATAAATAAATAAATTCTCTAACTAATAAGAGAGACTGTCCAGCACCAAGATCTGTGCACTTGGCAAATGCTATTTCCCCTTTCTGTGCTTTAACATCATTCCCTTAATGCCTAAGTCTGGGTTCAGCCCCCTCTTTCCTTTGCTCTTAGCACCTTGCTCTTACCTAGAGCAGAAAATGCATCTCATCTTGTTGCATTAAAAGTATTTTCTTGTCTGTCTTCAGCATTAGACGAAGCTGCTTGATGTGCCAGGTACTCTCCCAAGCTGTTTGCAAACATAGCATGTCTCATTCATCAGAGGAACCCTGGGAAGGGGGTAACAATCATCTCCCTTCATACCGATTAAGAAATCAGGCCAGGAGAGACTGAGTCCCTGTGTCAGGTGGCAGGTCTGGCACAGAGCAGGTGCTCACTCACTCTTCCTTGTTGACGCATTGCAGAAGGCTTCCTAAGAGAGTCTTCTTATGACTCTCTCCCCCAAAGAGCTCACTGATTCACATCATTTCGGAGTCGATATTTTCTCCATCACGGCTGCTTCCCTGATGGATGATAGGCTTCCATTCAAAACGTACACTTTACAAGAAAAGGAATTTTTTTTTTTTTGCCTCTTGTTCACTGGGGTGTACCCTGCTCTCAGGAGAGCCCCTGACCCATAAGAGGTGCTCGGGGAGTTATTTAAGGAATAAATGAATAAATGCAAACATTTATTAATTGCTGAATTTATTTTGTAACTTAGAAGGGCTTATGTTGAACCATACGTTCTTACATGCTTCTGAAAGTTAGTGGCATATTAAATGGGAGGTGGGCCAGCGGGCGAAGAAGACTTAAGAGACCAAGAGAAGATCTCCTTTTGCTCTGCACTGTCTCCTGGGCTCCAGAGAGCATCTCTCCTCTCTCAGCAGCTGGCTAGCAGCTGGAAAAAGCCCCTCTCCTTGGAAGGCAGGAGGGATTCTTGCAGCAGGAGACAGGACAGGGAAGCAGGAGGGAGCTGCGCAGGAAAGAGATATACTGCAGTTGCGGCATTAAAGCCTGGGGCTTGAGATTCCCACTAAGATTCACTGGAAAAAAATAATACTTGAAAAAAAGTGTAATGCCTGGTATTTATCACCTCAGCCTACTGATGCTTCATTCTGCCTGACATCCATGGAGATTCTTAGTATCTAATATATTGTCTAGCATCCATCCTGCCCATGTACTATGCACCTGTTTTTTTTTTTTTTGTTGTTGTTGTTTGTTTGTTTTGTTTTGTTTTGCTTTTAGCTTTAGTTCTTTCCTATTATTCTTTAATTAATTTTGCTGTGTTAGGTTCTGTGTAACACATTAGCATGATATACAAGTCCAAGTCCCCAAATAACCTTTGCGATTGACCCCGTCACTGTTTCTCTGTCTGTAAACTATGCCCCCAACAAAATAAATGTCCTTACTCCTTCAAGCCCATACTCCACATTCCCTGTCCTGGGAATGTCTGGGTGTCTGGATCTTTTCTCTCTGACTAGGATGATGCACACACATACTGTAGCAATCTTCAGGGCCATTTCTGATTCTCATAGTTTACACGGAATATTTTTGTCTTCACATGTCCTTATGCCTTGTGTAAATTATTTATTAAATTGAATATTTTCCACTACATATGCCATTTGCAATCAAAGGCAGTGATGCTTTAGATTTTTGTCCACGAATTATTCACCCCCTTCCTCCTTTCCTTTCTCAAAGCTCACAGATGTTGCTGGGTGCATTGGTGCATACCTATAATCCCAGTGGCTCGGCAGGCTGAGGCAGGAAGATCATGAGTTCAAAGCCAGTTTCAGCAACTTAGCAAGGCCCTAAATAACTCAGCAAGACCCTGTCTCTAAATAAAATATTTTAAAAGGGCTGAGGATGTGGCTCAATGGTTAAGTCCCCCTGGTTCAATCTCCAGAACCAAAACAAAACAAAACAAAAAACATCTCACTGATGTTGAGCATGACCATGTGATGCACAACAGCCAGTGGATATTGGCATCCAGGATGTGGCCATGGCTTATGGAGTTGGTCCTCCTCTTTGTATATCCACTACTGCCCCGAGATGAACATATTCCTTAGATTTCTGGTCCACATAGGGTTAGAAGTATGAGCTCAGATGAGACCTACCCAGCAATTTGGAGGTCAGCCTAGCCATGCCTGCCTAAACCAGGCCACCAGAAACTCTTTGGAGAAGAATAAATGATTGCACTTTAAGCCACTGAGTTTCAGGGAGGTTTTATTACAGAGTGTTTCAGTGGGGATAGCTGACTGATACAAAGCCTTAACTCCTATCCTATGCTCCGAGTTTCTTGAAGTTCATGGCAGTCTGCCTGATCTCATTATACTCAAGCAAAGTTCGAAGGCACATTTCTAATGTATATTTCTTGAGCAGATGAACAGATGAATAAATGAATGATTAAAGAGCTCCAGAGAGGGAGATTCAGGACCCAGGGAGACCAATGCACTCATTAGTTCAATGAGAATTTATTGAATACTTATTTCATGTCAGGCATTGTGCTAGTGGAAGGATATTCTGAGGTAAACAGACTGGACTTGGCTTCTAGATGCTCCATGGTGACTAGGGGAAAGCTTGAGAACCGGGGATTCATAATGCAGTCCATGTGCAAACTCTGATTATCCTTGAATCACATGCGAGGGCACCAAAGTAATCAGAGGAGTGATAATGGATAGAAAAGCTCAAAAAGATCCTTCTCTCGCTGCAGATTCCCATTATCTCAGGTTAAGAGCAAGTCCCAGACAGATGGGAGGCATTTGCATCCATTTGAAGAAAATGAGTTAGTAGAAGTTGCCCAAGGGGTAAAATAAAAATCTACAGGGATAGGGTTTCGTTGGTCATTTTCTGATTGCTGAGTGACACCTTTGTCCCCTTCCAATATTGCAGAGAGGTTATCAGCATGCTGAGTTGGAATGTCATTATCATCTGTAAATCACAATCCTGGATTCGTGACATCTGGATCCGACAGTGTGACCTCAATGTCCATCAGGACACTGTCTGAACCTTGATAAAATTCACTATCTGTCTTTTTTTTTCATGTCTATTTACCAGTTCTGTCACACTCTCCAGCTTATCCCACCCACTCACTCCAAAGGTGTGGCTAAGGCCACTTGTGGCCACTGTCTTCTATTTCCCCAGAAAGAGCTCCAGGAACCAGGAGCCTGGTGCTGAAGTTCCTAAACCATGGGGAAGACATCAATGGAGCCGAGATTGAAGAGCAGCCTCCCTGGCCCTGGACACAGGCCAATGGGGAGTAAAAGTCATTTAGCATGTGCATTGGTGCTACCTAGGATTTTTGTTTGTGTCTGTGTTTTGAAAGAGCAGGTGGCTAGGACAAATGGACCATCAGGGAGAAAAGGTGACTTTTTTTCAGGACTCAGGGTTCAATATTCCAAAAGGAGCACATGACTTCTTTCCCCACCAAAACTAGCAACTTTCAGCTCCAAAGAATAAGTTGGGACATTTTGCTCCCTTTAAAAATACTACCTTGAAATTTGAGGACAGCAGCCATATGGAAATAAACTTTTAGGTCAGAGAAGACAAATATCAACAGGGATCTATTTTCTAATCACTATGCAACTTAAAGGTGGCACCACATGTGCAGCACTTGGCACAATGTTTAGCATATGGTAGCAACAAAATAATATGTAATAGTGCTATTTATTGAGTACTTATAATATGCCAAGTAGCGTGCTAAATGCTGTGGAAGCCCCTTCTTAATTAGCCCTTTCAACAACTCTAAAAGCTGGGAGCTGTATGCATTGGTATTTATATATAGGAAAGCTAATGTTCAGAAGGATGAAATAAAATTCCTTGTCTGGAGTCTTCCATCTGGTACCCAGTAGCCAGAGTGGGTCCCGTGTAGTCTTACTTCAGAGCTTTTGGTTATAACCTTTATTCTGCATTCTCAGAGTTAAGATGAAACTTCATAATGAAAGCTAGCAACATCATCATGTCATCCCTTTTGAAAATTATAATTATAATCATGAGATGCCATAACAAGAATTATTAGGTACCTCACTTCATGAGGGCAGGTTTCTGGAATATTATTACTAAAAAGAAATCGTTGACTGAAATGTGCAGATTTAAGAATAAGTGTAGCCTTTGCTGCCAAACTGTGAGAGATGGGTAAAAAGGACAGGAAAGATTTTTAGGGTCCAAAAGCCTTGGTTCTGACTTCATCCCTTGGTAGCCCAGGTCAGGTCCTTCCTGAGTCAATTGGAAAGCCGAGTGAGGCAGATTGTGTTGTGGTCTCAGTTCCTCCCCTCTCTCATGTGTCTGTAACTTCTGCCATGTGACTTTGCAGATTCTCTCACTGAGGAGGTGGAGTCTATTTCCCATGCCTTCAGTCAAGGCTTGTCCATGTGACTTATTTTAATCAACAGAATGAGGTGAAGTGGTGATAGGCCAGTTTTGAGTCCTGTGTATTTCTACTTACTGCCTTGTGCTTCTATTGTCATAAAGATAAGCACATGCCTGGACCAGATTATTAGTCCCAGGACAATGAGGACATGTGGAGCAAATATTTCCCAGTTCACATGTCCCTCTAAGAGTCTAGCCCATCCTAGAGCTGAATCCCAGCTGACTGATAGAACCATGGATAAGCCCAGTCCAGATCAGTAGAACTCCAACCAAGTCTCTGACACCTGAGCTCTCATTATTGATAATTAGTATTTTAAAAAGCACTTCATAGGGGCTGGGGATATGGCTCAGTTGGAAGAGTGTTTGCTTTGTATGCACAAGGCCCTGGGTTCAATCCCCAGCACCACATCCCCATACACAAGACACTTCATTTTAGGGTAATTTTTCACACAGTAACACGGAACTGCTACAGAACATTATCATGCACATGCCCAGGGATGGGTATATTGCAGCTGTTCTTCTTCACATCTCTCTAATCAGTCAGAAAAGGCCCAGTTCAGCCCAGTGAAAAGTCACAAAGCTATGTGATAAGTGAGCACCCATTCAAAGGTGAAGGAAGTAAGCTCAAGGATACAGTTTGTCACCACCATTTATCAAGCCCACTTTGGCTCCTTGCTGAGGATAGGGAAGTCAGAGCCAGAATATGTTCCTCCTGCACCAGGATCACGCAGCTCCCCCCTCGATGCATGGGTGGCCGGCAGCCTCCAGCAAGTTTTCCCAGCGATTATTTTCATTGCCGCAATTGGTTATTTCTATGTCAAAGTCACTTCCTCTCTTTGCTACAGATTTTTCATTTCCGTAAAAATGACAGTGTCTGATTTAGCTCTCAGAAAAGGATAGGGAGGTTGGGCAGGGGTGGAAATATGGAGGAGAAAGGCAAGGGAGGAAAGGAACAAAATTACTCACCAAAATGGGCTTTACAATTGGGAAGCACTAATGAAATTCAAAATAACAACAATAATTATGTTTCCACGGCCGAAGCCTTGTGTTATTCAACATGAATATTCATTCTCATGTTATCTTCCCAAGGAGTAAAACTGAGGGAAGCAGAGTGTGCACACAGTGTGGCTTTGCCCGTGTGTGTTTTTCCCCTGCTCTGCTTCTATTTTTACCCACACAAGACAGGCCCTGGTTTGAGAATGTCTGCATTCCAATATTTTTTGCAACTGTGATTTGTGTCTCTCTGGGTGTCCGCGCACAACACCTTATGTAGGAGATGCTTAAAACATCAATAAGACGTAAGTTAGGAAGAAGTATGTGTGCATGGGAGGGGCTGAAACAACTCTTTATAGCTGCTAAATGGTCACAGGCGGAATATCACTTTGACTTAGAGCTCCGCAGTTTGGAATGTGTACAAGGGAATCCAATGCATCTTTTATCAATGGGCTGGAAGATTAGGAGGTTATTGCTAAGTTATCAATAGAGGAGTGCAATTTGCTGTATGAAGTGGTCTTCAATTGGCTCCTAAGCTCAGAAGCTACGTGTGTTCATCAACAGACTGTTCAATGGACTGTGGTTGTAGGTATAGTGTATGAGTCTGCAAAAGGCTGCCATAACAAAATTCACATGTGAGGTGATTTAAACATCAGAAATTATTATCCTACAGTTCTGGAAGCTAGAAGTCCAAGATGGGGGTGCCAGTTGAGTTAGTGTCTAGTGAGGACTCTCTCCTTGGACCACAGATGGCCACTTTCTGTGTTCTCATGAAATCTTTCCTTTGTGCATGTTCTGGGAGGAGAAGGAGAGAATGGGAAGAGAGAGGGTGAAAGGGGAAGAAGGAGATATAGAGGAAGAGAGATATACCCCCTCCTTTTTTTTAAGCATCACAAGTCCTAGCAGATTAGTGCTCAGTTCTTATGACCTCATTTGACCTTAATTGCTTCCTAAAGTCCCTATCTCCAAATATAGTGACATTGGAGGTTAGGGCTTGAACACATGAATTTTGTCTATAGCATAAAGTCAACTGTCTCTACAGGAACTTGTGAAAATGGCATGATTCCCATTGTCACCAAGGAGGGAAGAAAGGCTCACATCACCCACCTATGATGCCATCACTGGCCTATATTTCAGGGCTGAGTGACAGAATGCCAGTATTGATAACACCACTCCAGAGGAGGGAGAGAGGAGGGGAGTGAGACAGGAATCACATCCTTCAACAAATCTGATGGAGACCATTGGGCCCAGGGACTGTAAGCCATGGGGTTTCCCTTCCCAGGTCTCTGAAAAAGCAAATTTGCCTCTGTCAGCCATCAGACAGGGAGCCTTGGGAAACTGCTGGGTGCTGGTGCATCCTGGGAAAAGGAGGGGGCTCCTAGGTCAGTACATGATGGGGGGCGGGAGAAAGCAGAATAACATGGCAAATGGTGATATATTAGGATCTCCTGAAACATAGCTCTGATGACATCACCCACAACATTGCTCGAAAACTGCCAGTGGCTTTTTGGTGCCTTTATAACAATGGTGCAAAATTCTTAACATGGAATTCAGGGCTCTGCTTGCTGTGGTTTCAAGTAAATCTTCCAGCTTTGGGGTGTGGTGACAGTCATTCCTGACATTTAGGGAGTCCTTTGGAAAAGATGTTCTTCTGAGCCCTTTATACATATGAACTCATTTAATTTTGATGATAACCCCTAAAGGTAGGAGCCACTCTCCTAATCATCATGGGGCTCATGGAGGTTAGTGGACTCAGTTGGTTGACTCACATAGTACTGAACAGTGGAGCTGGAATTCAAACCCCAGAGCTCCAACTCCAGCACGATGCTCACAGATATTCCACCACATGCTATCTTCATGTACTTCATATGGAAGAATCTCTGGTCTTCTCCCAAACATGTACTGTATTTTCTGGTCCTGGAGTCGAAAACCTAATCCCAATTACATCCATTCTTTAGATTCCAATTCTTGCCTATGTTCAAGGCCAAAATCAAAGATATCTCCTCCAAGAAAACATCCTGTAAGGGTATTTCATGATTCAGATCCCACCTATCACTTCATATTTTCTTCCCTAGTGGAGATTGCCATTTGGGGGGCTGGAAGAAAATGAATGTGTCTAGAATGGAATGTGTCACATCAGCTCAGAGACACAGCACAGAAGCTCTCCTATGGCCGTGAGCTCCTCATGGGACACATTTGCCAGCATAGTTCCAATTCCCTGGGACAGTGCTCTGCACATAGTTCTATCAGCTTGGATTAGACCTATTGCTGACAACTAAGAACTAAAACCAGCAAATTAAATAAGAGAGAAACCTATTTACCTCTCACATAAAACAAATCCAGAAATGTCTAGCTCAGGACTGTTCTAGCAATCCGATGGTGCTCATGGATCTAGACCACTTCCACATTTAAGTTCCAGAGCCTGGCTGTGGGCTTCACAAACCAAAATGGCTGTATGAGTTCCATCCATCAAATGCATGAGCTAATAGCCGATAGAGTAAAGAAGACTTTATAGAAGCACAACATAGCACTTCTGTTTATATCCCACGGTCTGGCTTTAGTTACAGTCATTTTCAAGGGCAAAGGAACTGAGGATGCTTTTAGCCATTCAGTTAGGTATGACCTTCCAGGTAAAAATG